AAAACAGCAAAACTCTTAGAAGATAAGATAGGTGGGGCACCTGGGTGGCTCAGCCTTTTAAGCGTCTGCCTTCAGCTCAGGTGGTGATCCCAGGGTCCTGGGATCGAGCCCCACATCGGGCTCCCTGCTCAGTGGGAAACCTGCTTCTCCCTCTCCCACTCCCCCTGCTTGTGTTCCCCCTCTCGCTGTGTCTCTCTAATAAATAAATAAAATCTTTAAAAAAAAAAAAAGAAGATAACATAGGAGAAAATCTGAATGACCTTGTGTTTGGCTGTGACTTTTTATATACAGCACAAAAGGACAATCCATAAAACAAAAAAATTGATTAACTGGACTTCATTAAAATTAAAAACTTCTGCTCCATGAAAGGCACTGTCAATAGAGTAAAAAGACCAATCTTCAGACTGGGAGGAAATTTTTTGCAAAATGTGTTTGTGATAAAGGACTGTGAGCTAAAACAAACAAAGGGCTTCTAACACGAAAGAGAAAGTAAACAACCCAACAAAAACTGGGCAAAATATTGAAGAGATAGCTCACCAAAGATACACACATTTCATATGCAAATAAGCATATGAAAAGATGCTCAGCACCAGATATCATTAGGGAAATGCAAATTAACACAACAACGTCATACCACTACAAACCTATTAGAATGCCAAAATCTAAAACATTGACAACACTAAGTGCTGCTGAGGACGCAGAGCAACAAGAACTCTCATTCATTGCTGGTAGGAATGCAAAATGGTACATTTGCTTTGGAGACAGTTTGGCAATTTCTTGCAAAACTCACCAGACTCTTAACACAGTTCAGCAATTGCACTCCGTGGTATTTACTTAAAAGAAGAGAAAACCTATGTCCACACAAAAACTTGCATATGGATGTTTATAGCAGCTTTATTCATAATTGCCAGAAATTGGAGGTAACCAAGATGCCCTTCAGGAAGTGAATGGATATATAAAGCATTGTACATCCAGACAATGGAATATTGGGCAGTGCTAAAAAGAAATGAGCTATCAAACTATGAAAAGACTTAGAGGAAACTTAAATGTATACTACTAAGTGAAAGAAGCCAATCTGAAAAGGCTAAATGTTGTATGATTCCAACTATATGGCATTCTGGAAAAGGCAACATTATGGAGGCAGTAAAAAGGTCGGTAGTTATGAGGAGTCTGCAGGGGCGGGAGGGATGGATAGATGAATAGATGGAACACGGGGGATTTTTTAGGGCAGTGGAAGTATTTTGTATGAAGGTATAATGATGGCTATAAGACGTAGAGGTCGCTTTTAGGCAAACAGGCTTGAGTGATGGAATGTAGAAAGGGCCCACAGAGACCCCCTGTCTGAATCCAGACAGGCCCATCGGGCGACCCATCTCAAAATATTCATAGGCCCTAACTGACCAATGGGCTACTTACAACCAAGTACAGTTACCAAAAATGGAGAATTCCATATGTTGTCATACCTCCTCATCTTCCCCCTTTAAAAACAGTCCCACCCACTGCCTCCTGGCAGATGGCCTCTCCTCTGCTGTCCTGCCCCCGGGTTCCTTGCGGTATATTCAGTAAACGTCTATCTCCTTTGTTCTGCCTCAGGTGGATTCTTTCACTGCCCATACCACCAGCTTCCACCCAATTGTCGCTCCACATTTGGGGGCCCTCATCTAATCAGGAGAGATCCCATTTAGACACCACCCAGGATATTATACATTTGTCAAAACCCACAGAAAGTTATGCAAGGAGGCCAGGTCCAAGGACCCAGAGGGGGTCCCACAGTACCAGCCAAGAGCATCCTTGGCTTCGGGCAGGATGGAAATCAAACACGAGCCCTCAGGAAGTAAGAGCAGAGTTTACTGAAGATGTAGAGAGAGTCGATACAGATGGAACATCTGGAAGACTCAAAAGGAAAGGAGAGAGACTCTCATCTTTGGGGTCTGGAGTTTTGAGGATGCTGATCTGGAATATGTGTCCTCTTAGGCATCCAGGAACTGGTCTAACAAGGATGAGTGCTCAGATGTCCTCCACAAGTCACTTATACCCTGGAGCCAGGGGTCTTGGCCTCAAGGTGTCTGGAGTCAGTGACCTTGGAAAATGTACCTGACAACCTCACCTGATCACCCCTTTAGATGTTAGCTATTGTGCTAGAAGACTCCAAAGAAATCACGAGCTCCCTGACCCTCACAAGGACGACATATATTAAGGCATGTGTACGGTTGGGGGTGCAGGTCCTAGCAAGAATAGAATCAGGAAAAGACAAGCAGTTTTTTAAAAATAGGATTCCTTCAGTTTCCCTTTCTCAAAAGTACAACACAGTGAACTCTAAACTATGGATTCATTTTGTTTAATACTGATGTGTCAATGTTAGTTTATGGATTATAACAAATGCACAGCCCTACACAGATGTTGAAGGAAGGAGGACCTGAATGCATGTGTGGGGGGAGAGGTTTATGGGGACACTGTACTTTCTGCTCAATGTTGCTGTACCTAAAGCTGCTCTAAATGTAATGTCTATTAATTTGAAAAATTTAATCTTTGACCTTACACCAGCCAGATTGCCTAAAATAAAAAAAGACAGGAAATAACAAGTGTTGGCAAGGATGTGGAGAAAAAGGAACCCTTGTACACTGCTGGTAGGGATGTAAATTGGTAGAGCCACTGTGGAAAACAGTATGGAGGTTCCTCAAAAAATTAATAATAGAAATACCATATGATACAATAATTCCACTCCTGGATATTTACCCAAAGAAAAAACAAAAACACTAATTCAAAAAGATATATGCACCCCTATGTTTATTGCAGCATTATTTACAATAGGTAACATATGGGAGCAACCTAGGAGTTCATCTATAGATGAATGGATAAGGAAGATGTGGATGGAATATTATGCAGCCATAAAAAGGATGAGCTCATGCTGTTTTTGACAACATGCACAGACCCAGATGGCATTATGCCAAGTGAAATAAGTCAGACTGAGAAAGACAAATACCATTTGATTTCACTCATATGTGGAATCTAAAAAAAAAAAAAAAATCCCAAATGAATAAACAAAAAGCAGAATCAGACTTATAAATATAAAATTAATTATAATTAATCCTTCAGGGGCATTTTGAGACATTAAAAATCCCTGAATGCTCATTTGAATGTTTATTTGATGGTAATTTAATGTAAAGGTTGATGTGTTTGGGTTTTGGGTTTTCTTTGCCTCACTGGTTCTTTACCCAGTCTTTTAAAAATACTTTCTACTAATATATAATCCCCAATTTTTTTTCTAGTTTGGAAAGTACATATTCTTTGATTTTACTTCTTTTATTTAAGCTAAAATTTACAAGTATTTATTTTAACACATTATGCACAGAGTTATAAATACGTTTACCTTTCTCCTAGACTATAGAGAACTTAGAATATTCATCACTTTGTCCCATTTTGAATACTATGATTTTATGGTATGCATGGTAATGCCATCATCGTTCTAACTCCACAGGAGATAATATTCACATCTTATACAGAGAACGCACAGTTACAGGAATCCACAGATACACTCCTCTCTCAGATCCTCATCCCTATCACCCCGAAGATTTCACCTGGAATCACTTTTCATTGTTCTTAAGTTATAATCATTAGAATTGCATTTTATGTGGGTTAACTCTCCATTAAAATTTTCATTTGGGGCTTGAAATAATCTTATTTCAGATATCTTTTTTCTTGAGAGACACTTTTGCTATGTATAGAAATCTAGGTTGGTAGGTTGCTGAACCACAACTTATAGTGGGAGTGAGAGGTGACAAGTCATCTATTTTGTGCTCCCTGGTGGGCTGCAGGTTCAGGTGGCAGGCTGATTAAGCCTTGTCGAGGACAAGGCCTGGTAACCTCCAGCCGATGGACATCAAGCTGGGATATCTCATGATCGGATATTTGTACCTGGATTTGGCTGCTCTGAATGCCACAGGGTAGTCAGGAGAGGGGTAAGTGTTGGTTCCTGTGACAAAGATATTCTCCTTGACCAACCTCTACTTAGGCTCTTCTGAATTCTCTTCTCAATGAGGCCCTGACTTCCAGACTTCCACGTTCCTCTCTGCATTGCAGCAAGAATGCCAAAGTCAGTTTGACCAGAACTACCGTCTGGATCTGATCACTGTGATATCTGATCGGGTCCCTCATTCCCCAACACCCCCCAGGTGACAGCTCATCATCCTAACCTGCCTTCAGCAAGAATCCTGTTAGGTCAGTTTAGCCAGAACCCATCCCCTTGCCCCCACCTGTTGCTTGGCTGTAAGAGCTGATCTCAATCCCTCTCTCTCACTACAACCTCCTATTGCGGTGGTCCCTATACCTAGCACAAGAGGGCCTGGTATCATTCCTCAACAAGTGTCTTGAATAATGCCTGAGAATTAGACATGAGTAATGACATAGCGTCTTATGTAATGAACTTGAAACCACGTCCGTTCCATTGTGTCCACTCAAGGACATTTAACCCTGATGTTCTCAAATGTTGAATCATGTGGCCTGTAAGAATCTGGCCCTTGCACAATAGGCCTACCTGTTGTTTATGAAACTCTCCTGCATGATGTATTTTTTCTACGTATTTTCAGTAATAAAATAAAATAGCCAAATGGTAAAAAAAGTGTGCTTTCACGTGAACATTATCACCATCACCTATGCTGTTACTTGCTGAATTAGAGAGTCATTATCTTGACAAATATTCCAAGTTACCCTGTAGAGAGGTGTCTCTGATTTGCCCTCCCACAGTGGGACTCCTGATGATGAGGCGGTTGATGCTGCTGCGCTGGCTCTTAAGTATCCAGCAGTAAATACGTGTGGACCCTGCTACCTACCAAGAGTCCCTTTTCTCAAATTGGTATCCCTTGGAGAGCTTGTTCACACACAGAAGGCTGGACCTTGCATTTTTAACAAATTTCCAGATGATGCTGATGCTGGTTTGAACAGCACTGAATTAGAGCTACATTCAGTGTTAGTACAACAGGCCCCGCAGATTAGGGGTTTACCTTCATTTGTCAGTGTGAATCTGGGCCCTGCCGGAAGTCTGAGAGGTGCAGGACGCGCCTCCAACCACGCACGCAAAAACAGGTCTCCCGTGAGAGGCCCCTCACGGCGACTGGGACTGGCCCGGTTAAGATGAAAAGCTCCCGAGCCCCCGACACCAAGAACCAGCGGGAACCTCCGAGAAGCAGGAAAACGGCGCGCGGATCGCTCCTCTGCACCGCCCCTTCACGCTGACTCCTCCCCCTTCACCCCGCCCCCTCGCACCGCCTCACCCCGCCCCCTGCGCGACTTCCCAAGCACCGCCCCCAGCACCGCCCACCAGCACCGTCCCCACACGGCCGCCCCGCACCACGACCAGCACTTCCCCAGCACCGCCACCTCCGCACCACCACCCCGCACCGCACCCACGGCACCACCTCCCAGCATCGCCCCTCGCACCGTCCCCCCGCCGCACAACAATCCAGCACCGCCCCCTCGCACCGCCCTCCCAGAACCACCTCCCAGCACCGCCCCCCGCACCACCACCCAGCACTCCCTCCCAGCACCACCTCCGCCCCCCTCCCCCCCTCCGCCCCCCTCCGCATCACCACCCAGCACCGCCCTCCCAGCACCGCCCCCGGCACCGCCCCCGGCACCGCCCCCAGCACCGCCCCCAGCACCACCACCCAGCACTCCCTCCCAGCACCACCTCCGCCCCCCTCCGCCCCCCCGCATCACCACCCAGCACCGCCCTCCCAGCACCAACCCCCCGGCACCGCCCCCGACACCGCCCCCAGCACAGCCCCCAGCACAGCCCTCCCAGAACCACCTCCCAGCACCGCCCCCCGCACCACCACCCAGCACTCCCTCCCAGCACCACCTCCGCCCCCTCCCCCCCCTCCGCCCCCCCCGCATCACCACCCAGCACCGCCCTCCCAGCACCGCCCCCCGGCACCGCCCCCAGCACCGCCCCCAGCACCGCCCTCCAGCGCGGCCGTGGGCGGGACGGGAAACGCCGGCGGGGAGACTGAACCTGGAGTCCGTGCCTGGCGCGGGGCCAATGACGGCCCGGGAGCGCGGCGCCGCTTCGGGCCGGAACTTCCTGCGTTCCAGGCCTGCCAGGCCCGGCCCGGGCCTGGTGTGCGCGTCCGCGTCACCCGACCTTTCCGGAGCAAGGGGGCCGAGACCGGGGGGCTGGGACCCTGCTCCGCCCCGCGGCCCGCGGCCCGCGCGCCTGCACCAGCCGGGAGCCCGAGGCCCGAGGGCCCGCCGCGCCCGGGGCCAGGCGAAGCCGGGGGTTACCGGGGGCTGACCGTCTCCGGCGGCTCCGCTGCGAGCCCGGGCACCGATGGCGGCGGCGGCGGCACTCAGAGACCCGGGACAGGTGAGTGCACGAGTAGCCGCCGCGACCCCCTCGCTGTCGTGTCTGGCGCCCGGACCGCGGAGGTGGGCCTTGTCTGTCTTCTCTCCTCTGCCACCTCTCCTCGGCTTTTGAGTCTGGGGGCGCTGGAGGAGAGCTACGCCCAGCCTGGGGTGCTGGATCCAGGCCGGAGATGATACAGAGCGCTTCCCATTTCCGAAATCTAGGGGCAGGAGGCGAGGAAGGGTTTCCTAGGCACAGGGACCAGCGTGTGCAAGGCTTGGCGGTGAGATTGAGCTGAGGGTTCGGAGAGCAGGTGGGAGACAGTGAGCCCCGGAATGGCAGGCTGAGGAGCTGGGCCTCTATTCTGAGGGTGTTGGGAGCCGTAGATGGTTTCGAGTAGAAGAGGAAGATTATCTGACTCGGGTCTTGACAGGCTCCCCGTGGACGCAGAGTGGAAAACGGACTTGGCGTAAGGGTGGAGGCAGGGAGGGCAGGGAGTCCGCTATTGGAGTAGTTCAGGTGAGTCCTGCAGGTGGCTGGAGGTAGAAGTGATTGGATTCTGGATCCGGCTTTTAAGTCAGGCTGACCAGATTTTCTGATGTCGAAGGTGAGAAAGAGAAGGGATGGTTTTTGGCTTCAGCAGCTGGAAGGATGGATGCGGGACGGAGCTGGGGAAGTTGGTTGTAGAAGGAATTTTCAACATAAAAGCAGAAGTGAGGTTTTGGCCCTGCTAAGCTCTGATGTTCCAGAGACCCCTGAATGGAGTTGAGTGGGCAGCTAGCCACTGGTTACGGTGTTTGGGGGCGGTATAGTTAAGGTTATGAGAGACCAAATACACAAAGGGACAAAGGCCAGACCGTATATAAAAATAGAATTCTTACCCACAACCTGCAGGGACCTGCCCAGGAAACCAACCTCTTTATCTACAATAAACAACCCAGGAAGCTAGCCTGCTTAAATTAGACTCACAGGAAGCCAGATTGCTATCTCTAGTGACAATCCGGGAACAGTAACTTCTGTAACAACCGGCCCCAGATGACCAGGGCTGGATTAATAACTGACAGCTTCTCTAATATTTGTTCCTACTTCCAACTTGGGGCCAGGCAGAGAAAACCAAATATGCACCCCTAACCTATCACATAGGATGCCCTGCTTCTAGTTAGCCTGCCTGCAGCTTCCCTGGGCCAGCAGCCCCCAGTCAGGGCACATCTGAAGCCTTCCCTTTTCTGCTATAAAGCTTTCCCACTCCTCTGCCAAAGCATAAGCAACAGCGGCTCCCTCCCTCGCTGTTGCAAGCTCAGTATAAATAGCCTTTGTTTTTCTTACTTGGTTAGTCTTTCCACAGTTAAAACATCTAAGTGTGGCATCTGGTGTGTGGACAAGGGTGTGGTTGTGTGTCCAGTTCAAGAAGGTGAACCTTCAGGTCAAGGCGGCAATGGTGTTAGAGAGAAAGAGGAAGGCGGGGCCTGAGAACTGAGAACGGGGTCTCTTGGTGGGACACCGCGGTTGGCTTGTTTGGCATCATCCAGACAGACATGGAGGAGTAGTGGTCGTGGTGGTGGTGATGGTGTTGCTGTGTGGGGAAAGGGGGTCTAGCAGGTGGTGTAGATATGGGAGGGATGGGGAGGCCCCGTAGTAATGGAGGCAGTATTACAGCGAGCCCTGGGCTGGTGCTCATTCACCCCTCTGCATCCTCGGCAGGCGTCTCTGGTGCCCTTTGATGGGGCCGGGGGTTTTCAGTTGGGCTGGGGAATTAGCTCGGGAGCAAATGGGGTCAGCTGGGAGTGGGTGACCCTGAGTGGGTGGGGATAGGAGAACCCATGTGCAACATAGAAGAGGAAGAGGCCCAAGGGTATCTGATATCTGTGTGGCTCTGCGTGGCTTAGACTGAAGCCAAGAAAGAGCTGGGCGGGAAGACCTTCAGATCACTGGTGGCTGTTGCCCTTGGCAGTGGGAGCCATCCAAGGATCTGGATGGGATCATGGTTGGATTTGCTAAGAACTTTCTGCATGTCGTGTGCAGAGTGACATGTGAGGGTCCGTGGCAATGGCTATGATGTGGGCTGGGATGGAGAGAGAGTACAGTGACAATGGGGATGCAGTGGTGAGGTCCAGAGTCTGAGGAAGGTGCAGTCCAAGAAGTGATATGCATATAGGAGTGAGTGTGAGCTGTTGGCCCCAGGGCCTTGGTACTGGCAATTAAGGGAGAAGATTGAGTCCGTGTTTGTGTGTGGGAAGCATGATGTTGGTGACATGGGAGGGCGCCCACAGAGGAGGGGGTTGGGCCGTGGTGTCCCTCTGCCCACCCGCCCGTCGATGCTGTGGACTGACACAGAGGTCAGGTGAGGCATACAAAGGAGCAAACACCAGTGAAGCCAGGGCCTGGGATCTCCTCTGAGTTGGGAAGCTGGGGAGGAGAGGGAGCAGGGGACAGACGGGGAGGCCTGAGGAGAGAAGCTGATCCTGGAATGAACTGTCCCCATCATGGCAGGGCTGTGTGACCTTTGAGGACGTGACCATTTACTTCTCCCAGGAGGAGTGGGGGCTCCTTGATGAGGCTCAGAGGCTCCTGTACTGCGACGTGATGCTGGAGAACTTTGCACTTATAGCCTCGCTGGGTAAGGCCTTCACACCCACTGGGGGTCCTGAGCTCGTTTCTGCCCGTCCCCTTTTCCTTCCCACGGCCAGACCTACGGGCCCCGCTTCCTGCCCGCCTCTCCCAGGATATGTGCTGCATATTGCAGGCCCACGCCGAGTGCAGCGTCCCATCCTCTTCCTGAGCAGCCCCAAAGCACTGGGGGGAAAGGGCCGGCAGCGAGGAGTCTTGCAGGTAGCCCAGTGGATCCCGGCTGGCTTGGCCACTCTCTGCCTGGGTGATCCTGTCCTTTAGCTAACGTTTCCTAGGGCCTGACTGCTGGGAAGTCTGGCCCTGATGTGGTCACCGCTTGCTGTGACCACTGGAATGTTCCTGCCATACCTCCCTTGTGTGGTCCTGTTGTAATACTTCACTTTCTTTCCTCTGGTCTGTCATCAGGTGGTTCATCTGGCCAGGTGCTGGCCACTTACCTGCCCTGTCTTTCCCTCAGGACTTACCTCCTTCAGGTCTCACATAGTCGCCCAGCTGCAGATTGGGGCAGAGCCATGGGTGCCTGACAGGGTGGACATGACGTCAGCCATGGCAAGAGGGGCGTACAGCGGACCTATCTCTGGTGAGTAGGGGATGCGGGGACAGGTGACGTCACTGCTGTCTTCAAATCACACCTGCAGTTTTTCTCATGTTCATCATTGTCTTGGTGCCGAAGCCAATGGCCACGTCTCTCTTCTACCTTTCCTTTCCCATTCTTGACACATCGCCCACTTGTCATTTCTGCTCTGACTTGTGGCCCCTGGCTCACTCTTTCCACAGCTCCCTCTGTGACTGTCTCCAACGTGGACCTACACTTAATATGGCATGATAGGTGCATATTCCCTTTCATAGTCCTTAAACAGCGGCCGCTCAGTTGCAATCAGATTTTCCTGGGCCTGGACACACTGTTCTGCACAGGGTTCCGTGTGTTAGCAGCGGCCAAGGCCCTGCTGGAAAGCCTTTAGAAAGAAGTGAGTTGGAAACCCCGCCTTCCGGCCTAAGACTGCGCCCCCATCCTTGTGTCCTTGGTCCTGGCAAGGCCTCCCTGGTTTGTGACCTTGCCAGACACAGTACTGCAGAGCAGACATCCTTACCCTGACCCCAGGCTCCTCTTCTTGCCAGCAGTCCCGAGGACTCATGCCAGGGTCAGGCATGATTTGTCACGGGGCTGCTTCCTTCCGTCTGAGTTCCTAGGAACTTCACCAGCACTTCTCTGCTTTCAGGGTTTTGCTGTGGAACGGAGGGTGAGCGTAGAGTGTCTGCAGAAGGAGTGTCACAGGACAGGAAGCTCAAGGCGGCTCTGTCCAACCAGAAGGACTACTCCTGTGACGCGTGTGGCCTGTACTTGAAAGACATTTTGCACCTGACTGAACACCAGGCAACACATGCCAGGCAGAAACCAGACGTGTGTGAGGCGGCTGGGAGAGGGATCGAGTCCATGCTGAATATAGACAAGCCTGTCAGAAGGGATGAGGACAGGGCCTCACCTGTGAAGAGCTGCAGAGATGACACATCAAAGGAACCTTTCACAGTCAGGGAGGATGGGAAGGACTTTGTGGGTGGGACGGCCACATCCGGCTTTCTGCGGCATCAGATCACTCACAGAGCGGAGGAGCCCCCCCAGAGCACTGACGTGCAGAGCCATAGCAAGTGCGGTGAATTTGGGAACGCTTTCAGTGACAAGCCCACACCTGTTCAGCACCAGAGAACCCACACTAGAGAAAGGCCTTATGAGTGCAACAAATGTGGGATATTCTTTAGCCACGCTTCCGGCCTCTTTCAGCACCAGAGAGATCACAATAGAGGAAAGCCTTATGAGTGCTGCGAATGTGGGAAGTTCTTTAGCCAACACTCTAGTCTCGTTAAACATCAGAGAGTTCACACTGGGGAAAGCCCTCACGTGTGCAGTGAATGTGGGAAATTCTTTAGCCGAAGCTCCAACCTCATTCAGCATAAGAGGGTGCACACAGGAGAGAAGCCTTACGAGTGCAGCGAATGTGGGAAGTTCTTCAGCCAGCGCTCCAACCTCATTCATCATAAGAGGGTTCATACGGGCAAAAGTGCTCACGAGTGCAGTGAGTGTGGGAAGTCTTTCAACTGCAACTCCAGCCTCATTAAGCACTGGAGGGTTCACACTGGAGAAAGACCTTATAAGTGCAGCGAATGTGGGAAATTCTTCAGCCACATCGCCAGTCTTATCCAACATCAGATAGTCCACACTGGTGAACGGCCTTATGGGTGCAGCGAATGTGGGAAAGCCTTCAGCCGGAGCTCTGACCTCATGAAGCATCAGAGAGTCCACACTGGGGAACGGCCTTATGAGTGCATCGAATGTGGGAAATTGTTTAGCCAGAGCTCCAGCCTCAACAGCCATCGGAGACTTCACACTGGCGAACGGCCTTACCAGTGCCCTGAATGTGGGAAATTCTTTAACCAAAGCTCCAGCCTCCATAACCATCGGAGACTTCACACCGGTGAGCGGCCTTATGAGTGCCTCGAATGTGGGAAAACCTTCAGGCAAAGGTCTAATCTGAGGCAACACCAGAAGGTTCACAAACCAGACAGGCCATATAAGTGTGGCGAATGTGGAAAAGCCTTCAGCCAGAGGCCTACCCTTGTCCGGCACCAGAAAATTCACACTAGGGAAAGGAGTGCAGAGAATGTGCACCCTCCTCCAGCACAACGATGTGCAGTGGAGATAAGCTCTGAGAACAGTCTTTACGAGGAGGCCATCAGCCAGAGGTTGAACCTCGTTCATCCCAGTGTCCACACTGGGCAGATTCCCTATGAATGCTAGTTATGTTGGAAGGTCTCAGGAACAAAGTAGCATTTTCTCACCGTGGACTCTACCAGACCTTTGTCACTGCAAGTGTTTGTGGTAGAAGCCATTGAGCTCTGGCAGGTCTCCAAGAGCATGTGTCAGCCAGTCCCTGTGTTCAGACCTCTTCTCTTTTGCCAAGAGGGAATCCCAAGTAGCCTGAGGCCACAGGAAGATGTCATTCCCTCCTTCTGTGGCCAGTGTAGCTGTGGACATGACCCATCTTTTGACCGTAAAGACCTGAGCTGGGTTCTCCTGGCGGCTTTCGGAGAAGGTTTCCCTTCTTCCAAGGGAAGATTTCATATGATGCTCATGATGGATTTATCCAGACTCCACATTACCCATCCCAACAACTACCTACTTTACATTGCCTTAGTGATAAAGCCCCCTTTAATCCCATGTGTTCTGATCACTGTGAAGTGGGTTGAGAACACAGTTAAGGTCTACCAAACTAAAAGGGTCTCCAAATGTATTGCCTCAGAGAAAGAGCAGGATAGTGGAGAATAGCTGTCCAGATTTGGCCTCCTTTGTGTTGCTACTCAAGGCTTCCTGGGGAAGATGGTAGGACTTTGTGGGCCTAATGTGATCTGAGTGGCATGGATTTTTGTGAGCCAGAGATTATCCTGAGGACGGGGCAGTTGTGACAACCTCCTCTGTATCTGGGAGCAGCATGAATAGGGCCCCATTTCCACGGGATGCCTCATGTTCCCTAGCACTGTTAAGCAGACACTGTTTACCTGGCACCTGCCAAGGAGCCATATGCCTTGAAGTTTAGCATCTGGTATACAGGTGTCCTAACTGTAAGACTTACTGGGCCCAATTGAGACCATAATTTGTATGGAAACACTGGAGGTGATGATGAAGTAGACAAATCTGCAGCAAACTAGAGGGAATGTACCTGTTCTAAAAGTGCATCCACAAATGTTCCTTTGAATGTAACTGTGCAGAATTCAGTCTTTGCAGAAATTCTCAGGACCTCCAGACCTCTGTCCTATGAGTCAGGTCACTGACAGAGCAAAAACCTAAAGGTTTTGTGGGTACTAAGTCTCTCTGCATTATTCGTGCCACAGCCATTGCTGCATTGGCAGGAGAATGGGGGCTGAGCGAAGGTAGACCCTGTACTCCAGGGATGTAGCATTTGTCACATAGCCAGCCATTTTTGCTGCCAAGACAGAGAAGGGAGTCAATGTAGGGTTGCCAAATCTAATTTTCTAAAATGAATGGGAGATCAGATTTTTATGTGCAACAATTTATTTAAATGCTTTGTTGAGATATAATTGTCATGCAACAGTTGGACATATTTGATGTGTACAATTTGAGAAGTTTTCAGTATGTATACACTCAGGGAACCAACACCAGAACCATGACAATGACAGTGGACCTATCCATCACCCACAAAGCTACCTCGTGCCCTTTACTATCCCTCATGCCTTCCCAGAAAACCATGATTTACCCTTTTTTCTTTTTTTCTTTTTTTACTACAGATTTGTTTGCCTTTCTTAGAATTTTATACAACTGGAATCATAAAGTATTTATACCCTATTTTTGGTCTTTTTTCTTTTACAATGTAATTATCTTGAGAATTATCCATGCTGTATGTATGAACAGTTCATTCCTTTTGCTGTTGAGTAGTGTTCTCTTGAGTAAATCCATCACAATTTTTTATGCTTTATTTTTTAAGTTAAAAAGTCTGGTAAAATACACATAATATAAAATTTACTATCTTTACCATCTCTAAGTGCATAGTTCAGGGTGTATTAAGTACATTCATATTATACAGCCATCACCACCATTCACATCCCGAGCTCTTTTCATCTTGCAAAACCAAAAGTCCGTACCCATTAAACAATAACTTCAAAGCCGCCCCCCGCAAGCCCCTGGAAACCGCCCTTCTACTTTCTGTCTCTCTGAATTTGACTACTTCAGGTACCTCATATGCATTGAGTCATCTAGTATTTGTCTTTTTGTGAGTGGTTTATTTCACTTGGCATAATGTCCTCAAGGTTCATCCATGTTTTATGCCATGTGTCAGAATTTCTTTTTATGGCTGAATAATATGCCATTGTATTTTTATGCCATATTTTGCTTATTCATTCATCTGTCAATGGATATTTGGTTTACTTCCACCTTTTAGCTATCGTGAACCATGCAGCTATGACCATGGGTGTACAAATATCTCCTTGAGACCTTGCTTTCTATTCTTGTTTTATTTATTTATTTTTTAAGATTTTATTTGAGAGAGAACGAGCAAGAGAGCATAAGTAGGCTGAGGGGCAGAGGGAGAAGCACACTCCCTGCTGAGCAGGGAGCCCGATGTGGGGCTCAATCCTGGGACTCTGGGGTCATGACCTGAGCCGAAGGCAGACAGCTAACCAACTGAGACACCCAGGCGCCCCCTTGCTTTCTTTATAGATATATCTGGAAGTGGAATTACTGGCTCATATGGTAATTATATTTTTAATTTTTTGAGGAGCTGCCATACTGTTTTCCACAGTTGCTCTATCATTTTATATTCCTACCAACAGTATACATGGGTTCTGATTTTTCCACATCCTCACCAACACTTGTTTTATCTTTAAAAAAAAATCTAAAAAATGTTTGAATAGTATCTATCCTGATATATGTGAAGTGGTTTCCTTCTATCCTACCTTGTTGAGTGTTTTTATCATGAAAGGGTGTTGGATTTTGTCGAATGCTTTTTTTTTCCATAAATTGATAGGGTCCTATGTTTTTTCCTTCTGTTAATATGGTGTATTATACTGATTGATTTTCGTATGTTGAAACTTCCTTGCATTCCAAGAATAAATCCCACTTAAACATGGTATATAATCCTTTCAGTATGCTGCTAAATTCTGTTTGCTAGTATTTAAAGATATTTGCACCCATGTTCATAGGTGATATTGGTCTGCACTTTTCTTATACTATCATTTTCTGGCTTTGGTATCAGGGCAAATGAATTCGGAATTGTTCTCTTCAAGTTTTTGGAAAATCTTAACAAAGATTAGTGCTATTTCTTTAATGTGTAGAATTCACCAATAAAGTCACTGGGTCCAGAGCTTTGTTGTGAGGAGGTTTTTGGTTGTTTATTCATTATACTTACTAATTATAAGTTTATTCAGATATTCTCTTCATGACTCAGTCTTGATAGGATTTGTATTTCTAAGGATTAGTCTATTTCACCTAGGTTCCATTTTTTGTGTGTACAGTTGTTCATAGTACTCTTGTAATCCTTTTTATTTCTGTAGAATTGGTAGTAATGCCCCCACTTATATTTCTGATTCCAGTAATTTGAGTCTTCTCTCTTCTTTTAGTCACTCTAACTAAAGGTTGGTCAATTTTGTTCAACTTTTTGAAGAACCATCTTCTGGATTTGTTGATTTTTCTCTATTGTTTTTCTATTCTCTATTTTTTAAATCTCTAATCTTTAGTATTTTTTTTTAAGATTTTATTTATTTGACAGAAAGAGACACAGTGAGAGAGGGAACACAAGCAGAGGGAGTGGGAGAGGGAGAAGCAGGCTTCCCGTGGAGCAGGGAGCCCAATGTGGGGCTCGATCCCAGGACCCTGAGATCATGACCTGAGCCGAAGGCAGATGCTTACCAACTGAGCCATCCAGGCGCCCCATCTTTAGTATTTCTTAACTTTGTCTAGCTCTTGGTTTAGTTCTTCTTCTAGTTCTTTAAGTTGCAAAGTAAGGTTGTTGATTTGAGATCTCTCTTTTTTAATATAAGCTTCCTCCATACAGCTTTTGCTACATGTCATAAATTTTGGTATGTTGTTTTTGTTTTCTTCCTTCCTTCCTTTCTTTTCTGTCTTTCCTTCCTTTCTTCCTCCCTCCATACTTCCTTCCTTTCTTCTTACCCCCCCGCTTTTTTTGAGAGAGAGAGCATGCACACGCCCATGTGAGCAGGAGGGGGAGGCCCAGAGGGAGAGGAAGAGAATCTTAACAGACTCTGCATTGAGTGTAAAGCTTGACCTGGGGCTTGATCTCACGATTCTGAGATCATGATGAGCCAAAATCAAGAGTCGGACACTTAACCGACTGAGCCCCCCAGGTGCCCCGTGTTTTTGTTTTCTTTCATCTTGGGTATTTTCTAATATTCCTGGTGATTTCTCCTTTGTTTCAGTGATTGTTTAAGCATGTGTTATTTAATTTGTGAATTTTCCAATTTGCCTTTCATCAATTTCTAACTTCATCCTGCTGAGATTAGAGAAAATAGTTTGCATAATATCTTTTAAAACCTATTAAGCCTTAATTTGTGACCTAATGTGGTCTATCATAGAAATGTCCTATGTGCACCTGAGAACAATGTTTTCTGTTGGTGGTGCTTAGAGTATTGTGTACATTTCTGTTAGTTCTGATTGGTTTATTGTATTGTTCAAGACCTTTATTTCCTTAATGACTTTTCTCCATTATTGAGAGCAGGGTGTTGAAGTCTCCAACTATTGTAAAACTATTTCTTCCTGTCAGTTTTTGAGTCATATATTTTCTTGGTCTGTTATTAGTTTCACAAATGTTTATAATTGTTATACCTTCTTGCTGTATAAAACCTTTTATTATGATATAAAAATGTCCAAATTTGTGTTGTAAACTTTTTTCGTATGGAAACTTATTTGCATGGAATGTTTTTCCATCCTTTCACTTTCAACCTACTTGTGTCTTTAACTTAAAGTTAGTCTCTGTGGGCAGCATGTAGTTGGATAATATTTTAAACATCCATTCTGTCAGTCTCTGTCTTTTGATTGGAGAGTTTAATCCATTTACATTTAAAGTAATTACTGATGAAGAATTTACTTCTGTGATTTTGCTATTTGTTTTCTATATGGCTTTTCTGTCATCCATTTCCTATATTACTGTCTTTTTTTTTTTTATGTGAAATGCTTTAATTCCCTTCTCATTTCCTTTTGTGTATATTCTATAGCTATTTTCTTTGTGGTTACCATGGAGATTATGTTGAACATTCAAAAATTATTAACACTTTAATTTGAATTTATATTAACTTCAATACCATACAAAAACTATGCTCCTATGTAATTCCATCCCCAACTCTTTCAGTTATTGATATCACAGAATTACATATTTATACATTTAATGTCCAAAACATAGGCTAATAACTGTTCTTAAAGATGTACAAGCTTTTTAAGAAAATGCATGAGCTTTTTAAATCGTGTAGAAATTTTAAAATGGAGTTATAAACCAAAGTTACAATAATAGTAGTTTTTATAATTGTCCATGTATTTATCTTTACAAGTGATCTTTATTCCTTCATATGGCTTAGAATTAGTCCAGTGCCCTTTGGTTTCAAGTGGAAGGACTCCCTTTAGCATTTCTTGCTGGGCAGGTCTAGTGGTAACAAACTTCCTTGGATTTTGTTTATCTGGGAATTAATTTCTCCCTTACTTTTGAAAGACAGATTTGCCAGATAGACGAGCTTGGTTACCATTTTCTTTTCTTTCAGTACTTTGAACGTACTAGCCCATTGCCTTCTGGCTTCTAAGGATTCTGATGAAGAATCTGTGGATAATCTTATTGAGTATCCTTTGTATGCGACAAATCACCTCTCTTGTTCCTTTCAAATTTCTTTGTCTTTTGACAGATTGTAATTTGTCTGGATTTGGGCCTCTTTGAATTTATCCTTCTTGGAGTTCATTGAGCTTCTTGGATGCTTATATTCATGTATTTCATCAAATTGGGGGAGTTAATTCTTAAAGTTATCTCTCTTCTCCTTTCTCTCATCTCCTGGGATTCACACAACATGTATATTGTTCCTCTTGAAGGTGTTCCAGAGGTGCTGTATATTCTGTTGACTTCTTCTATCTTTTTTCTTTTGATTTTCCTATCTTGAAGTTCACTGATTCTCCCATATCCTCACATCTGCTTTTGAATCCCTCTAGCAAATTTTTCATTTCAGTTATGGTAATTTTAGCAACAGAATTTTTTTTTCTTTTTATGTTTTCTGTTTTTTTTTTTTTTTTTTTTTTAAGATTTTATTTATTTGCGAGAGAGAGAATGAGAGACAGAGAGCATGAGAGGGAGGAGGGTCAGAGGGAGAAGCAGACTCCCTGCCGAGCAGGGAGCCCGATGTGGGACTCGATCCCGGGACTCCAGGATCATGACCTGAGCTGAAAGCAGTCGCTTAACCAACTGAGCCACCCAGGTGCCCTCTTTTTATGTTTTCTATGTCTTGTGTGACATTTCCATTTTGTTCATACATTATTTTCTTGCCTTTCTCCATATCTTACTTTAGTTATTTGATCATCTGTAAGATAGTTGTTTTAAAGTGTTTGTCTAGTAGAGCTGCCATCAGGTCTTTTTAAGAGATAGTTTCTGATGATTTTTTTTTTTTTCTCTGAATGGGCCATATTTTCCCATTTCCTTATATGCCTTGTGATTTTTTTTTTTTGAACACTGGACAATTTAAATTTAATAATGTGTTAACTTGGGAAAATCAGATTCTTCATCTTTCCCCAGGGTTTGCCATTTTTATTTAATTTTTAAAATTTAATTGTCATAGGTTGTCTCTGCTGGGGAACAGCCTGTGGTGTATCTCAGGTCTTTTCTGAGCCTGTGCCTTGAATTTTAAAATTCTCCTGTATATGTGATTGCTTTGGAATGTCTTAATCCTAAATATTTAGCTCCCAAAAGGAGAGAAAGAAAAATGAAGGGGAAAAAAATGTGCTGGTACCTAAATTCCCTGAAAGTCACTCTGCCAGAGAGGGAGGGGCTTGCAACAATTGGATAAGGGTTGCACAAATGGCTGCCCACTACTGTGATTTCACCTCTGCAATCAGGTTAGAGCACAGATCCTCAATATTTGGAGAGTGGGGTCCTACCCAGGCTCCCAAAAATTGCATGCATGCTGCTCCAGGGACACACACATAGCTGCCTACCACAGGGCAAGGGGATAAGGGATGGGAGCGGCTACAGTGCTAAGGACTGACACTAACCCAAATTAACTGTAATTTACTACTGCTTAAGCCTTCCTCTGCAAGTTGTAAGCCTTTGAATGGACCCCAGAGTTCCAAAATAATTACAGTAGACACATTCTGCCAGTACAATTGTTGTCAGGGTAGGGAGATTACTTTCTAGTGCTCCCTATCCACTACCTTTCCAGAATCCTTATTCAAATGCACTATAATTTTTTAACCTTTTAATATGTTAAATGACATGGGTTTTTAGCTATTACAAATTAAGCTATGACCATGAGTGTACAGGTCTTCATATGGGTCTACGCTTTCATTTCCCTTGTGATAATATCTAGGAGTACAGTACCTTTGTCACAGGGCAGAGAAATATTTAAATTTTTGGAAACTGACAAACTGTGTTCTAAAGTGCTTAGACCATGTTACTTTCCCCCAGCAGTGAATGAGTTCCAGTTCTTCCATATATTAGCCAACAATTGCTATGATCAATGTTTTTAATGTTTGTCATTTTAACAGGTAGGTAGTAGTAGATCCTCACTGTGGCTTTACCTTGCATTTATCTAATGACTCATGACCTTGAGCATTTTTAAAAATGTTATTTACCACCCACGTATCTTTGGTAAAATGTCCTTTCATATCTTTTGCCTTCTTTTGAAATAAATGTTGGTTAATATTTCTATTTTCATGAACAAGAATACAATGAAACAGCAAAGAACTTTGTTGGAACTTCAGTCATTTATCAATGATGTTGTAACTTATTTACTTAATGAGGTAATAAGTTTGAATACTGAAAATATTTCCTTAAAATTTTATGTTGTTCCCAATGGAAAACTATAGACACAATACACTTTTAATTATTAACATAATGTCTACTTTCTTAAATCTTCACAGCTAATAAAACAGTAAGTCCAGCTTTGAGCTATAGTGTTTACCATGCAGCCATTTTCAAGCTATGAATGCTGTCCATGAATGGGAAGTTGGGGAACTGTGTGTAGTAGTACACCACTGTATTTTATATCCATCATAGAGATGTAACAGATGTAAATAACTTTATGCACAGGTTTCTAATTCCAAATTTAACTTAATAGATATAGGGCCACGCAGGTTACCTATTTTTTATTATGTAAACTTCAGTCATTTATGCCTTTAAAGGAATTTGTCCATTTCATTTAAGTTGTCCATTTATTGGTATAGATAGGTTCATGATTTTCCCTTATTCCCCTTCAATATTTGTATAATCTGTAGTGATGTCTCCTTTCTAATTCCTGATATTTATAATTGGTGTGTTCTTTTTTAATGTGATAAATCTTAGCTAGAGGCTTATCTATTTTATTATTCATAAGGCTTTTGGTTTTACTGACTTTATAGTCTGTTTACTTCACCGATTTCCATTTAGATTTTTATTATTTTGGGTTTTTTTGCTTTTCTTCTTTTTTTTTTTTTAAGATTTTATTATTTATTTGACAGAGAGAGACACAGCGAGAGAGGGAACACAAGCAGGGGGAGTGGGAGAGGGAGAAGCAGGCTTCCCACTGAACAGGAAGCCCGATGTGGGGCTCGATCCCAGGACCCTGGGATCATGACCTGAGCCGAAGGCAGATGCCCAACGACTGAACCACCCAGGCACCCTGGGGTTTTTTTTGCTTTTCCTAGTTTTCATTTTACTTTATTTTTAAGATTTATTTAAAGTAAACTCTACATGCAGCATGGGGCTTGAACTTACAACTGAGTCGAGTCACATGCTCTACTGACTGAACCAGCCAGATGCTCCTTCTTTTCTTGTTTTTTAAATGTGGAAACAGATCCTTTTCTCAATACTTTTGTTTAATGTTTCCTTATAGTTCACTTAGCCTTCAATCCTGACAATTTCCTCTTTTTTTTTTTTTTAAGATTTTTTTTATTTATTTATTTGAGAGAGAGACCGAGAGAGAGAGCACATGAGAGGGGGGAGGGTTGGGAGGGTCAGAGGGAGAAGCAGACCCCCCGCCGAGCAGGGAGCCCGATGCGGGACTCGATCCAGGGACTCCAGGATCATGACCCGAGCCGAAGGCAGTCACTCAACCAACTGAGCCACCCAGGCGCCCTGACAATTTCCTCTTATATTTCCTTCTAAATATTTTGTATTTTTACATTTTATTTCAGTCTGTGATCCATTTTAAGTTCATTTTTGTTTAAAGTAAAAGGCTTTTCCTCCTCTTGTGTCTCACATCTGGGCAAGCTGATAAGAAAGCCCTAGTGGTCTCTTCTTTTGCAAGATTCAAACCATGTGAGCCCCTGCCCAAGCAAGGAAATGGTATTTATCTCAGCCCCACCTTCAGGTATTCTGGGTATGCTAGTCTGTTTCTATTAATAATTAAAAAAACTGTACTTGGAAATTTTAATAATAAAAAGTTATAAAATTAATATAGTCCTGTCTGGAGATGACGTAAGTGAGCTACATCTCTGGCCTGTTAAAATTTGAGCAATAAAAGAGAATCCAGACCATTATGGATTAAAATACACTGAACACATAAAAATGAGCCCATAAGGAGACTTCTTTAAAAAGATAAGCATAAAGATCTTACATGCCATTACATCTATATGACATGGCAGAAAAATTAAGTATGAAGCTTTATATGAGTTTAAACTCACATGAAAGGATTGAGCAAAGATAAATAAAAATATAAGTGAAATTTCTATAAAGTGGATACATACCGAATTCACACTGGCTGATACTTCTGGGGAGGTAGAATATGTGACTAGGTATTCAGACAAAGAAAAATTTCTCAAACTCTTCCAAAAAAAAAAAAAAAACAAAGAGGAGGAAATCCTTCCAAACTTATTTAAGGCCAGCGTTACCCTAATGACAAAACCAGACAAGAACACCACAGAAAAAGAAAATTGCAGGTCAATATCCCTGATGGACATAGATATAAAAATCCTCAACAAAATATTAGCAATCCAAATAAAATAATCCATTAAAAAGAACATACACTGTGATTAAGTGGGATTTATTCCAGGCATGAAAGTATGGTTCAACATCCACAAATCAATCAATGTGACAAACTACATTAACAAAGTGAAGAATCAAAATCATCTGATCATCTCAACAGTTATAGGAAAAGCATGTAACAAAATTCAACATCACTTTATGATAAAAACTTTCAACAAAGCGGGAATAGTGTGAATATTTCTCAACACAATAAAGGCCATTTATGACAAGCCCACAGCAAACATACTCAACAGTGAAAAGCTGAAAGCTTTTCCTCCATGATCAGGAACAAGACAAAGATGCCCACTCTCTCCACTTTTATTCAACATAGTATTGCAAGTCTTAGCCAGAGCAATTAGGCAAGGAACAGAAACAGAAGGCACCCAAATTGGAAAGAAAGAAATAAAACTATCACTATCTGTGGACAGTAAGATTTTATATACAGAAAACCCTAGACATTCCACCAAAAAACTATTAGAATTAATAATCAGTAAAGTTGCAGGATACAAAATCAATATACAAAACCAGTTGTGTTTCTATATACCAACAAACCATCAGAAAGAAAAAATTAAGAAAACAATCCCAGGGGCGCCTGGGTGGCTCAGTCGTTAAGCATCTCCCTTCAGCTCGGGTCATGATCCCAGGGTCCTGGAATCGGGCCCCGTGTCGGGCTACCTGATCAGCGGGAAGCCTGCTTCTCCCTCTCCCACTCCCCCGCTTGTGTTCCCTCTCTCGCTGGTCTCTCTCTGTCAAATAAATAGAATCTTAAAAAGAAAAGAAAACAATCCCATTTACAATTACATCAAAAAGAAAACAACTAGGAATAAATTTAATCAAGGTGAAAGACCCTTACACTGAAAATTTAAAGACATTGATAAAAGAAATCAAAGAAGACACAAATAAATCTAAAGATATTTCATGCTTACGGACTGGAAGAAATAATATTGTTAAAATGTCCATATTACCCCAAGCAATCTATGGGTTCAGTGCAATCCCTATCAAAATCCCAATGGCATTTTTCACAGAAATAGAACAATCCTTTGTTCTATTTGTATGGAATGACTAAATTTGTACTACATAACCAAAGCAATTTTGAGAAAGAAGAACAAAGCTGGAGGCATCATACGTCTTGATTTCAAACTATATTAGAAGGCTACAGTAATCAAAACAGTATGGTATTGGCATAAAGCAGACACACAGACCTACACAATGGAATAGCCCACAAATAAATCCATGCATATGTAGTCAGTTAAATTTATGAGAAAGGAGCCAAGAATATGCAATTGGGAAAGGACAGTCTCTTCAATAAATGGTGCTGGGAAAACCAGATAGCTACATGCAGAAGAATGAAACTATACCACTATCTTACACCATTCACAAACTTTAACTCAAAATGGATTAAAGACTTGAATAAAAGATGAGAAACCATAAAACTCCTAGAAGAAAACAGGCAGTAAGCTCCTTGATGTTGCTCTTGGAGATATTTTTTGGATTTGACTCCAGAGACAATGGCAGCAAAAGTAAACAAATGGGACTAGATCAAACTAAAATGCTTCTGCACAATGAAAGAAATCAACAATATAAAAAGGCAACCTACTGAATGGGAGATGATGTTTGCAAATGATACATTTGATAAGGGGTTAATATCCAAAATATACAAAGGAATTATACAACTTGGTAGCAAAAAACAATCCAATTAAAAAATGGGCAGAAGATCTGAACAGAGATTTTTCCAAAGAAGACATATAGATGGTCAACAGGCATATGAAGATGCTTATTACCAATCATCAGGAAAATGCAAATCAAAACCACAATGAGATATCACCTCACACCTGTCAGAATGGCTATTAGCAAAAAGACAAGAATTAACAAATGTCAATGAGAATGTGGAGAAAAGGGAATCCTCATGCACTGTTGATGAAAAATGAAAAATATAACTACCATACAATCCAGCATTTCCATTTCTAGGTATTTATCCAAAGAAAATGAAATCACTAATTCAAAAAGATATATGCACCCCTACATTCATTGCAGTATTATGGAAACAATCAATGGATGAATGGATAAAGAAAATGTGGTATTTATATACAATGGAATACTATTCAGCCATAAAAAAGAATAAAATCTTGCCATTTACAACAACATGGATAGATCTTGAGGGTATTATGTTAAGTGATATAAGTCAGGAAAAAACAAATACTGTATGATTTCACTTATATGTGGAATATAGAAAAACAAACAAAACTCATAGATGCAGAGAACAAATTTGTGGTTGCCAGAACAGAGGTGGGTGAAATGGGCAAAGGAAGTCAAGATATAACAACTTCTAGTCATTAAATAAATAAGTCATGGGGATATAATGTACAGCATGGTGGCTATAGTCAACAATATTTATGATATATGTAACTTTATATGATGATAGGAGGAAACCTGACATTATAGTGATCATTTTACAGTGTATATACAAATGTTGAATCATTATGTTGTATACCTGAAAATGTTATGTCAATTATGCCTCAATTCAAAAAAAAAAAAACATGGAAAAATGTCACTAAAACAGTGACTTAAAACTGTATGTGCTTCAGATTATGGTAGAGTTGTGTTTTGTACCATTATTTCTTTGGATAATACCAAATATCTGTATCTATAAGCATATTTTTGGAGGTTGCATAGTTTACACAGAAAGGAAACAATTGAAATCCATCAAAATGAGTACTATATAGTAGCAAAATGGAAAAGATAAATGGAGACAATTAAGTACTCAGATGATGGTGTGAGTGGTCATCATGGTAGGGGAGGGTCTGGGTGGAGGCTGGGGCTATGAGTATGTTGGATTTACTCCTACTGCCTGTACAACATAAACACTATGGAGCCCATGGAGTCCAAAATATATAATCAAAGAAGGAAACAGGAATTGATAGAGTTTGGTTATAAATGAGTCAGAACTTGTTGAATGGTCTCAATCATTATTCATAATTTTTTTCTGATACATCCAATCTTCCTTAGACCAGTAATAGGTATAATGATGTTTATCAGGAGGTGGAAGATTCATATTTGACAAAAGTTCAAAGGCAATTCAATAAAGAAAGGATAACCTTTGCAACAGGTGGTGTTGGAACAACTGGACACCCAAATGCAAAAAATGAACCTCGACCTATAAGCTCACATATTACACAAAAATTATTTCAAAATGAATCATAGACACAAAATGTTAAAGTATAAAACTCCGAGAAGGGAATACAGGAAAAAAAATCTTCATGACCTTGGGTTAGGCGAAGTGTTCTAAGATAAAACACCAAATGCACTATCCATAAGGTAAACTGATAAAATGGGAGTATATGAAAATTAAATACCTTTGCTCTATAAAAGATAGTTAAGATAATAAAAAAAAAAACTGGATTGGACAAAATATATTTATAAATCACACATCTAACAAAGAGCTTATATCTAGAATATATAAAGAACTCTTCAAAACTCAACACTATGAGAACAAACAGCCCAATAAATAAATGCTTCACAAGATATGTGGATGTCAAATAATCACTTGAAAAAGTGGCGAACATATTAGCCACTAGGAAAATGCAAATTAAAAACACAGTGAGGTACCATCAGACACCTATTAGAGTAACTGAAAACAAAAACAAACTGACAATACCAAGTGCTGGCAACAGTGTAATAACTGGAACTTTCATACATTGATGTTGGGAATGTAAAATAATACAGTCACTTGGGAAAATAGTTTGGTAAATTTCTTGTAAAGTTAAAAACATGTAGTTACCATATGACAGCATCTCTACTCCTAGGTATTTACCTAAAGAAATGAAAATGTCCACACAAAAGTACCAACAGTGCCTTTATTAATGATTGCCAAAACCTGGAAACAACCCAAACTGCTATCATCTGGTGAATGGATAAACAGATTGTGGTTCACCCATAAGGACTACTACTCAACAATAAAAACAAATGAGCAACATATATGTGTGTGTGTGTGTGTGTGTGTATATATATATTCATTTGTTATATATTGTTATATATATAAAGTATTTATGTATATTATATATATTTAACAACAGAATTTATCATAACATCAAGAATTATGACATACTTAAGGATAAGTTTAATAAAATATGAGGAAGACTGAATATTACCCAGCATTGCTAAGAGAAATTAAAGACCTAAATAAAAAGAAACAGATGTTCATGAATTGGTGGACTCAGTAGTGTTCAGATGTGAATTACCTCCATATTGATCAATAGATTCAATACAATCCATATTATAATCCCCCAAAACATTTTCCCCCATAGCAATTGACAAGCTGATTTTAAAATATGTAACTGAAAAAGACTTTCAACAAAGCAGTAGCAGTTTTGAAATGTGCAGTAATCAATACTCTTTGGTACTGTTAGAATAATAGACACATGGTACAATAGTATATAAGAGTATTCGGAAATAAATGTTATGCAGTCTACTGATTTTCACAAAGTAACACAATGGAGGGAGAGAATTTGTTTCAAGAAATGGTCCTAGAACAAATGTGTATGATTGTCCCTTCTTTTAACACCTTTATTAACTGCATACACTGTGACAGTAAGTTTCTAATTAATTTTATTTTTAAAATATTTTATTTATTTATTTGAGAGACAGTGAGAGAGAGCACAAGTGGAAAGGAGGGGGAGAAGCAGACTCCCGCTGAACAGGGAGCCCGATGCGGGGCTCCCTGCTCTGCGGGAAGCCTGCTTCTCCCTCTCCCACTCCCCCTGCTTGTGTTCCCTCTCTCGCTGTGTCTCTCTCTGTCAAATAAATAATAAAATCTTTTTAAAAATTAAAAAAATGCTAATAATCAATAAATATTGAGCATAAAAAATGCTAATAATAAAATTAATAAATATTGAGCATAGGTTTTTACAAGTATGTAGGTTCTATCACCACCATTTTAAAGCAATGCCCTGAAATAAAAAGTAAGGTGCCTAATGTCAAACAGCTTGACAGTGGTGGCATGACAATGACAAGAATTGACATCTGTGCTATGGTAGGCTTTCCAATATAAACTGCTTTTTAAAAATCAGGATGGATTATCTGAAGTTTAGCAATGATTTAAGAGTACTGGAAGGTTTTTTTATTCACTAGTTCATTCAACCATATTAGAATATGTCATATAAACTTTCATGCTATCAATGCTGTATTAATGTCTCCCACCTTTTCTGAATTGGCCACCAATCCAGAATATTCGGATTCAAATATTATAAACACAAGAATGACAAATAAAGGCTTTATGTTTTCTGAATTCCATTATGAATTCTCTAATAGGAGAATATTTTCTAAAGGCCTACCAAGATTTTTAACATCCATGTTTCTCATTAGCATAAATTCTCTGATGCTGAACAATGTTTAAGCCATACATAATGGACTTCCCAAATTCCTTAAATTTTTAGGGTTTTACACACATATGGTTTCTCTGATGTACTTTAAGGGCTGAACTATATCTAAAGGCCTTCCCACATTTTCTACATTTAAAGGGTTTCTCACCGGTGTGTATCCTCTGATGTTCACTAAGGAATGAATTAAGTCTAAAGGCCTTGCCACATTCCTTACATTCAAAGGGTTTCTCACCAGTATGAACACTCTGATGTCCAATAAGTTGTCCATACACAGTAAAGGCCTTTCCACATTCCTTACATTCATAAGGTTTCTCACCAGTATGAATCCTCTGATGTTGAACTAGGGAAGAGCCAGAACTAAAGGTCTTCCCACACTCTTTACACTCATACGGATTCTCATCTGTATGAAGTCTTTCATGGTGAACAAGGTAGGAGGCATGACTAAAGGCCTTCCCCATTCCTTGCATTCGCAGGGCTTTACCCCTGCATGAATTCTCTGATGTGCATTAAGAAATGAACTAAGTCTAAAAGCCTTCCCACATTCCTTACATTAGAACGGTTTCTCACCAGTATGAATACTCTGATGTCGAGTAAGTTGTCCATACACAGTAAAGGCCTTCCCACATTCCTTACACTCATAGGGTTTCTCACCAGTATGAATTCTCTGATGTTTAACCAGGGGTGAGCTACTACTGAAGGCCTTTCCACATTCTTTACATTCATAGGGTTTTTCACCAGTGTGAATTCGCTGATGTTGAACAAGGTATGAGAAGGTACTGAAGGCCTTCCCACATTCTTTACATACAAAAGGTTTTTCACCAGTATGAATATTCTGATGCCGAAGAAGTTTTCCATACACTATAAAAGCTTTCCCGCATTCCTTACATTCATAGGGTTTCTCACCTTTATGGATTTTTTGATGTTGAACAAGGTATGAGCTACTATAAAAAGCTTTTCCACATTCCCCACATTCATAGGGTTTCTTAACAGTATGAATACTCTCATGTATAGTAAATTGATGGCTATTACTAAAGGTCTTCCCACATTCCTTACATTCATATGGTTTCTCACCAGTATGAATTCTCCCATGTTTAACAAAGCCTGAGCCTCTAATAAAAGCCTTCCCACATTCTTTACATTCATAGAGTTTCTCAATAGTGTGAATTCTCTGATGTCGAACAAGGTACGAAAAGGTGGTAAAGGCCTTCCAACATTCCTTACATTTATAAGGTTTCTCACCAATATGAAATCTCTGATGTATGGTGAGTTGATGTCCATTACTAAAGTTCTTCCCACATTCTTTACGTTTGCAGGTTTTTTCACTAGAATGTGTTCTCTCATGTTGAACAAAGTTTGAGCCTTGACAAAACGTCTTCCCACATTCCTGACATTCACATGATTGCTCTCTGTTAAGAAGTCTCTGATGTAGAGCAAAAGATGTACATTTCTCAATAGTGGGCATTTCTTTAGAGCTGACTGTCTCATCCTTCAACTGAAAATCTGAAAGAAAACAAAAAAAAAAACCCAAATATTGTTTTCCTATATGAGAAAATATAGGAATAGAGATTTCTATGGAAGAGACACATTGAAAATATCTACTAGAAATAAATAGCCTAGGCAATACTAAAATACTGTTATAAAAATCAAAAACAGGTCAAAGAGAAATACAGAGATTAATGAGAGTTTATTTAAAATACCAATGTTGGTGATAAAATAGGTTTCACTTCTGATATTAGGTGTGGATCAGAATCTTTGAAGAGCTTGTTGAGAAACTGATATTCCAGCATCATCCCAGACCTCCTGAATCAGAATACACAAGGCAAGTTCCTGGGCACTGATATGTTTAACATTTCTTATAAATGTTTCTGATACAGATGAAATTTCATTTCCCCCCACTGTGGCTTCTCTTTACACTTAAGAGTCAAATCCATGTATCTTTCATTAATATGATCCCCGCTTACCTATCAGGCCTCATATCAAGTCATAATTTTCTTTGTTCCCTATTTACCTCACTTTCCCCTTTCGGCACTTGGAATGTGTCACAAATTTTCTCATCTTTTGGTTCCATCTGCAGGTGATGTCATTTCCCAAAAATTCTTTGGCATGTGTTGTTTGCAGACTGGATCCTTCTCATCCTATATATGTTTAAGGTAAAATGTCACTTTATCAGGATACTGTAAATTGCTGACCTTGTCTAAGGATGTCCATGTCTTTATCTTCTAACACTTAATTCTTATAATTCCTACCTGTTTTCAATTATATAATTATTTCTCTTTGTCAAAAATTTTAATTTACTTCTCCCAAACCTACCTGTGATAGATATTTTGGCCTTCATGACCTTTGCCCATATCATGCCTGTGAATATGTTGCATCACATGGCAAAAGATATGTAATTAAGGTTACTAATTAGTTGCTTTAAGACGGAGACATTAACCTGGCTTATCTGGGTAGGCCCTAAAAAGCAGAGCTTTCTTCTGGCTGAGGGCAGAAGAGAAGTCAGAGACCTTCAAAGTGTGAGATGGACAAGACTTGCTGGTTGCTGACTGGAAGACAGAGGGGGCCACATGGAAAGTGTGAGAAGGAAATAAATTCTGCCAGTAACCTGTGAGCTTGGAAGAAGACCCCATGCCCCAAAGAACTGCAGTCACAGCTGATACTTGGATTTAGCCATCCTGTGCTGAACTGATCTATACAATTATTTGATTACATAGGACTATAGTCTTAAGCTACTAAATTTGTGGTAATTTATTACAAAGCAACAGAAAACTAACTCCAAAAGCAGGCCCAACCCCTATTTCATTCAGCACTGAACTATAACTCTCTAGCACACAGCAGAAATTGATTGCAAAAAAAAAAGAAAAGAAAAAAGAAAAATCTCTAGACAAAAGAAAGAATTAGGATATAATTAAAAGACAATATCATACAAATAACTCACTGATAACCCATTAATATAATATAGATAATCCTTGAAGAAATAAACAATTTCTGGAATGAGAAAGGGAAGGTACAAGATGAACCTCAGATATCTTTGCCTTTAAAAAGTCAGGTAAATTTTGAAGACTCATAGGTTTCTCAAGAAACAGAAGAGACTTACTATGGAGCTCTGTATGGTAAATACAATGACAAAAGGAACACATGAATGATTATTTTCAATTATACATTCTGAATCAATGATAATGGGTGGATAAAAGATGAATCCATAGTAATTCTTGCAAGTGAACAGAAAAAAAAATTTTTTTAATCTTTGTTGTTGAATAATCTCATACTTAGAAAAAGTATTTTTTTTTTTTTTAAAGATCTTATTTATTCATTTGACAGAGAGAGACACAGTGAGAGAGGGAACACAAGCAGGGGGAGTGGGAGAGGGAGAAGCAGGCTTCCCGCCGAGCAGGGAGCCCGATGCAGGGCTCAATCCCCGGACCCTGGGATCATGACCTGAGCCGAAGGCAGACGCCCAATGACTGAGCCACCCAGGTGTCCCTAGAAAAAGTATTTAACTACTAGTAAAGAGTCAAATAATTTGTCTTTCTCTTTTCATTGGAACTATGTTTCAAGATAACCAAAAAGTACTAGTTTAGAACACTAAGAAATAGTTACACAAGAAACTATAGTAACAAAGTACCTTCCTACAAATAATGATATTTTTTATTCTGATGAGGATTAACAACATGACAAGTTGCTAAAGAAATGAATATTCCTGGATAATAAAGTAAAAGGAAAACCACACAGATTACTGTTTAGTTACAAGGAGGAAAATTAAATAATGTGGGTTTGGACTGTTATCACTCTAATCCAGTGGTTGATATATATATTTTTTAATTTATTTATTTTACAGAGAGAGCATGCATCTGTGCAACTGGGGGGCAGAACAGGAGAGGGAGAGAGAGAATCCTCAAGCAGACTCCTCACTGAGTGTGGAGCCCAACCTCGGGGGGGCTTGATCCCAGGACCCTGAGATCATGACCTGAGCCAAAATCAAGAGTTGGCTACTTAACCCACTGAGACAAAAATGTTTACCTTTTAAAAATATTTCCATGTTATATGATAAGCTGTACAGGCATTTTGACCAAAACTAGACCACTGGGATGGCCCCTACAGATAAGTATTGAATTTGCACACAAGAGTCAACTGGAAAATTGGATCAGATATGTTATCTCATTAAACTGACTGCCTTTAGGATGATTTCTGTTATCTCTTAAGATCAGTTTGGCCCATCAATTCTCCAACTTCTCAGAAAAAAAAAAAAGGCTATTTAGATCATTTCATTCAAAGAGGAGAAAATCTGGGTGTTGACTATTGTCAAAAAACTTCCACCACCATTAAAGGAGAATTTTGAACTGCTTTCTTCTGCTCTCAGGGCTTTTCATGTCATACTATACCAGATGACCTCAAAATGGGGAGAATTATACAGCACTGTGGTTCAGGACCACTAGATTTGGATCATGTCACAAAGGTATAGCACTCGTATCCAAGAAATTGGATAGGCAGTGGTTCTAGACAGATTCTGTTTAGAAAATATACTGGCCCAACAAGGCAGAGATATGATTCTTAGGAGAATGTTGTACTCACATCTTTAAAGACCTCTCTGAGATCTCTAAGATTACTAAAATGACCCAGGAAACAAGTAAGAAATCACCAAGTTAGGTAATAAGGATAATTCCCTCCATATTGGGTTCTGTGGGCTCTTTGGATCAGGGATGGAATCTGTTCTTTTGGTTGAATTTGAGTACTAGTCTTTGATCCTGGTTTAGAAGCAGACTAGAAATCCTGATCATAATATTTCTCATAGTATTGTCTATACTACAGCATTCAAATGTATAATCTACAGTCCTAAATGCTGTTGTGCCACCATTTTCTTATCAACAGATCCAAATAATCTTCCAAATAAAAAAATAAGAAAATACACTTTCAAAGGTTGAAATGACTTTCATATACACACAACCATGACACATCCAACAATTGTGTACATTTGGAGAATTTTGCTCCTGAGAAGATAATGTTCTATCCTCCAGATAAGGCTGAAAAATGACCAAAAAGGTGGCAGGGGAAACCAAGAAGTGAAACCAACATAATTCCTTGTCTCTGGGTTAAACAAAATTGAGAAAAACATACTTCCTGGGACATGTCTTAACCTTCCATAAATTATCAGGGCCCATGGGATTAAGTTTTAGTTTTTGAGTTGTTTTTTTTTAAGCAGTTCTAACTATTTGTAAGAATTAATATTTTCTGACTTTTATTCTTTCTTAAAGACCTTCCAAAGACAAAAATTCACTTATTTTCAAAAAAGAATAAATTTCATTCTACTTTACAGTTACACAGGGTTCTACTGGATCTTTTCATGGAACTAAGATATACAATGGGATACCAATCATCTATTTTTCCTTTAAGAATAAAAGAATAATGTTCCCTTGGGACATTTTTCTGTTTCATCATCTGAAAAGCTATTTCATCATTATCAATTATATCCCAGTGTGCAAAAAAGAAAAATTAAAATAAGGAAATGGAAGAATTCTGGCATTGCCCAGAAAGATGATACAGTAGTGAAATAAATCATTACTACATTGTCCTTCAGTTTTCTCAACGTGTTGCTCAAAGGATTGCATCCATTATCTTTTAAGGTTTCAAAGAAGACTTCAGACATCAATTTGTGCCTTAAAAAATATTTAGCATTTGGGATACCTGGGTGGTTCAGTCGGTTAAGCATCTGCCTTCGGCTCAGGTCATGATCCCAGAGTCCTGGGATCAAGTCCCGCATCGGGCTCCCTGCTCAGTGGAGAGCCTCCTTCTCCCTCTGCCTGCCGCTCCCCCTGCTTGTGCTCTCTCTCTGTCAAATAAATAAATAAAATCTTTTAAAAAATATTTAGCGTTTATTGAACACAGTTGAGAATTCAAAATTTTTCATTTTCTACCCATTATGGCAAAGATAAGCAAAGTGACAAAGAAAGACACTTCATAAACATCATGTAAATCAGAAGATGAGTGCAAAGATAAAGGGAGCAGTGCTCTAGAGCAGCCTGTCCAATATGGTAGCCACCAGCTATGTGACTAAATTGAGAGGTGCTGTGAGTGTAACATACACACCAGATTTTGAAAACTTAGAGCAAAGAGAAATGTAAATTATCTCATTAGTAATTTTATAGTAATTGTACTGATCATATTTGGGATATATTGAAATAAACAAAATGCATTATTAATTTTACCATTTTCTTTTTAAATTCACCACTAGGAGACTTTATATTACATATGTGGCTTGCATTACATTCTAGATGACAAAGTTGGTATGTGGTGAACTATCTTACTAATATCGTTTATGGTAAAAAAAGACCACTGAGAGACAAGTTGCATATGGACTCAGAAAATGGGAAAGGTCATCGGGAGGCCAATTCTGTAGTGCGAACTGGGGGTGATGGTGGTCTGGATTAGAAAGTTAGTGGTGGAAAATGGTGAGAAGGTATGGCACTCATATTTTGAACATAGAACGAACAACATGCTGGCGTGCC